TTGTATTCCTGAAGCTCGAACTCTGGTAGATGTGGAGGTATCATCTGTGACCAGAAAAACCTGTACACAGATGCGAGTGGGGATCGAACTCCGAACCTTCTGAATGGGTATAACAGCTCACCCCAGGACCTTTTTCTTAAGGACCTAATTTAAGTGGCTCTAGTGCTGCTCCCAACTCAGTCACCATGTTAATATGGCTGATGGTAGACAACTAAAAGAACATGTGAGTGGCATGATGACAATACTGAGTTTCACATAAAGCCATCAGTTGGTTCAAACACATTATCGTGAGGATGGCACACATGAATGATAAACACGGTAGTCCCATAACCTTGCCTGTTTCCACTGAAAAACTGCTTCCTCCTTGGAATTTTTCCTTGGAATGGCAATTATTGTGGAAACTTCTTCTGCTCTAAAGAATGTACTACCATTGGACAGGCTACCCTTCACAGTGTGACCTATCTTAGAAACAGATATGCTGTTAGATGTGCTAACCTGAAAGCCTCCTTTGCATTAAGTATGTGTCCATCATCATCTATGTAGTCGAGTTTAACATTTGGTTTGTAGCGCTCGTGACGCCCAAAGTTTTCATCATCTCTGAAAAAGATAAAGCAATGCTGTATATTAAATTCCTTAATTAGTCTTGCTTGCTTACTTCGTCCTGTCTTGACCATTATGTAAACCTCTCTAACACTCAAGTGGGTCAATCCCGAGAGACTAGACCAAACTTGCAATCCAGTTATAGAGGAGATGACAAAGTATTCAAAGTTCAGATATTCTTTACCTTTAAAAAATTTCCTACTCTACTCCATAATCAAAGCACGTGGCCGACCCTTTTGCCCATGACAACTCCCTTCCCTAAGGCCTGCTGCGGAGAAGTCTTGACAGCTACAGGACAACTTAGGTGACTTAGTCTGTAGCCACCTGCTCATGCTAGTTGCTCGCTTGTGGATGTTTATGCCCTGAAGATGGAGGCGATAAGTTCCTCCAAAACATCGGTTTACACAATATCTATACAGGGCCACATCCCAGAAGACGGCATTCTTCATGAGTGACATTCATTACATAACAAGACACTATACAGTAAAAAAAAAAAAAAAGTAACGTTATCCCTGTAACAGACCATGGAGTTCCATAGGGTTGTGAGATGTCGAGGCTCCCATATTTTCCAGACAATCAGCTCACAGATGGCGGTGAGGCTCTCAGCCTTATGTGCCAAGCTATCCGTGTAACAGACTGTGGAGGCCCAGAGGGTTGTGAGACATTAAGGCTCCCACACTTTCTAGACAATCGGCTCATTGATGGCAGTGAGGTTGTCGGCCTTATGCACCAGCTGCACTTTACTCCTTACAAAAATTCCTGGTATTCATTTCTGTTAAGAGGCTGAGTTGACTCCAGGGCCATAGTGCGGCTGGAAGGATTAGGTCAATTGAAAAAAATTAATGACCTAGTCAGGACTTGAACCAACGACCTTCCCACTTGTAGCATAGTGCCTCAACCAACTATCCTACCGCTACTGATATTAAACAGTAATGATTAATGTGTTTCTACTAAAACCCCTAACAAAACTGCAGTATATGATTAAATATGCTACACCATTTATGAAATACTTAAAATATAAATGCACAATTAAAACCAATACTAAAGTATCAATATCTCTTAATTTGAATAGGCCTATGTTGTATATAAAGAATTTTCTAATGACTCACCAATCTCAACTTCATTCCAAGCTCCATGTTTGCCTTCTTCTTCCTGACGTTTCTTCTCTTGAATCATTTCCATCTCAAAGTCCTGTAATGTAAATTTTGTATGAGATTAGCAGAACGCAAATGCGCAGGCCAAAAATTACCAGTTCAAAATTACCTTGAGATAGACTGAAATCTGAACTGCTTACCCACCAACCACTGTATAGAAAATTACTGCACTCTAAAGTACTGACTACACTGTGTAGGATTGGAGCTTCTGACAGCAGTGGTTTTGAAGAGTTCTGTCATCTGGGATATAATGTCGTGTAGTCTGTCGAAAGTCAACAGACATTTTGCAGAAACATGTCGCCTCCATCTTCAGGGTTGAAGAATAACTCAAGCAAGAAACCAGCGCTGGCATGTAACAAAGCTAAGCTTCCTACCTGCTTCGTGCTGGCTTCTTGTTTCGTTTATTCTTTGACCCTGAAGATTCAGGTGACATGTTCTCCCGGAAATTCGGATGATACCCCAGAAGACAGAATTCTTCTGACTATACTGATCATCTTGAAACTTCTTTGCAAAAATATCATTTTAATATCATAGTATGCTTTAAAGTTACAGATCTATTAGATTCTGCCAAGCAATGTACACCTGCCAAACTAATTCTGAGTTTGCAGTGAGAATACTGTGATGATTAACATTCAATTCACTTTGCCATGAATAAAATTACAAGAACTACTGGTTTTTCATTTAGTCATGTTCTGAGCTATTTATTCATCCCTATTTCAATTTCACATGTAATTCCTAGTAGAGTCTTTTCTACCCTTGTATCATGCATATGGCACAAGGAGAAAAGAGAAATAAAAGTTGGGAAAAGAAGACTGGATTTGAGATTCTTGTAGAAGAGATTAAGAATGGCACTATCTTCTGGGAAGTAACATCCTGTAAGTTCACTGACATTCCTTCAAAATGCTTATGGACCTTATCACATGATACGGCATTTTATTCCAGAAGGCACCACTTGTCAAGAAGAAGAAGAAGAAGAAGAAGAAGAAAAAGGTTCTACCATCTCAACTATCAAATTCTTATTGTATAATGAGTGCTTTAATTTCTAGGATTTCTGTTGGATGTTTCCAGTTCAGTAATTTATATATCCATTATCATGGAATTCGACTGTAATTAAAATATATTCTAATTCCGTTGCAGCTGCAGTAAATAACTGTAGATGGGCAATAGACTGCATCTAGTCTTCACACATGCTAAATCAAAGTGCCTTGCCAAGTGTACATGTATCTGCAGATGGTTATATTGCACTCACAAGTAGTTCCTGAGCTTCCTCATCCCTGTTGCCAGCCAGACCATAAATGGGGATGTCACACAACGTACGGCAGAATTCTGCTGTAGCATTCAGCACAATGGAACCATCTTCTGTGTTTCCTTCTGAGTTTCTCTCCAGTACTGACTCTGCCACTTACAAACATCACAAATCACAAACAGTTAAACTATGTAGCTATAGAGCATTCTGTTTTGTAGTATCCATAAATGCAAAGCTGTCCATGCCAATCCCACACCCGGGGAAACAGCCCCTGGTGCCTATTTGACAGGGGGCCATAACAGGTCTCAATAACCAAAATACAAGAAAGGATGACAGTATAAAAAAGGTAGAGCTCTCCCTGTAACAGGCCGTGGAGGTCCATAGGGTTGCTAGATGTCGAGACTCCCATACTTTCTCGACAATAAGCTCACAGATGGCAGTGAGGCTGTCAGCCTTACATGCCAGCTGCCCTTTACCGCCCAAGATTATTCCTGGTACTCATTTCTGTTGGAGGCTGAGTTAACCCTAGGATCATACTTTGACTGGAAGGATTGGTCAATCCAATTACCTAACTGGGAATCGAACCCATGACCTTTCAGTTTGTAGCACAGTAAGAAAGAATAATGATATTACTTAAATGTGAAGATATGATTTACTGGTTTGAGGCCCACCACAACAAACTGTGAGAGAAACAATTTAATAGCCCTCAGGTTAAATTACAATATAGTTTCTCTAGGGTACAATGGTTTTGTACAGTAACCAAGGAGGAAACATCATAATGAACTTTACTACAAAGTTCTGTGCAACATTTTGTAACTGGAACATATGGAGACACTGTGTACGAACTAAACACGGCACAGGATTCTGTAGCTAGGGACAATTTCATTACCTCCCACCCCCTATCCATAGGGCTGCTCCTCTCTTGTCTCAGGGAGAAAAAGCAGAGAGGCAGGTAAGGGGAAGATGACCTTGACTGAACACGAGATATGACCCCTACTACAGCCAAACATTTGTGAGAAGGATTAAAAAGAAAATCTGCTGATGTGATGTACCTTTTCTACACTGTTATTTGATTCTGTAACAGCCTCCTGCAGCTTCAATCTTCGTGCCTTCTTGAGGGCTATCTGTAGGTCCAGTTTGCTGTCATCGGGCTCAGTCTTGATGTTGGACATTATCTCTTGTGGCGCTGAAAGTTGTGTCCGATTATTAATAACATTCAAAACTGCTCCTGCACCACATTTCCTTTCATGATTTCACAACACACTTCGTAGCGGAAACTATATAGTATCAAATGGCTGATGATTAGTAGATACTGTATTCAAAAGTCTTAGTGTTTGTCACCTGATTAGGGATACTACGTCCAGCCAGCATTTGCCTGGTGGTACTGTGAAAAACCATGAAAAACCTAAGTCGGGTTATCCAGATGTTCCAGCGGAGATTCATGAACACAAGAAATCAGTTCCCTTTTTATTTTTTTTTTTTTTTTTTTTTTTTTTTTTTTTTTTTTTTNGTCTGTACTTACGGTACGATTGGGCGTGTTTATCTCTTCTTGTAGCAGTTCAATAATTTTTTGTGCTGATCTGAGTTCCATTTTAAATTTATGACAACAAACACTCGTTACGTCATTTGTTTCACTACTATCATTGATTAAAACTTGAGTGTCATCACGGTCATCACTCATCACCATCGTCGTGATCGTCGTGGTCCCACAGTCGTGCAGAATGTAGCCTGTCGCTATACCGACCATACCGACTGAGCTATCAATCCAGTTTAAAATATACAAACACTGCATTATCTTTGATCAAAGTTCAAAGTTAATTCTGCTTTTGTTCTTGTAGTTTAATGGCACTCAGCATACGAGAGCTGTGTGATATGTGTGTTGTTCAGTATTACGTGCTGCACAAGAAATTCCCGAGGAGTTCCCGAGAGATCGATCACCATTGATGCCATTGATCCATCGATCATCACTCTTATCAATGTCCAAAATGGCAGTTCTTTGATTTGGTAATGGTGATCTGGCGATCACCACCGATCACCAACGTTCGAGTATTGGGGTGGGTTTTTGTTGTATATGTGATTCAAATCATGATTGCAAATTTATTATTGGTTTTGGTGCTGTTGTTACATAAGAATATTGTAATTTCATAATTTGACTGTTACTCTCTTTCTTACACTGTGATACTGGCGAAAAAAGCAACTATATCCTTAGCACAGAATGAATACTTCTGCTTGTGTGAGGTAGAAACTTCCGTGCAGCAGGTCACTTGGCCTCTTAGGCCATTTATTCAGCTTGATGCAGGAGCTGAATCTGAAAGAACAAAGCCTGTCACGATGTAAACTAATGATCGTACATGCCTGTATTGCATGGAGTTTAGAAACTGTTGGGCTGTAGTTCAGTAGTGAAGCATTTCCATGCAGATAGGCTGCTAATTTTTTCCCCCCTTGATCCTTATTCAGTTGCTTAGGATGAGTGAATATCATGAACTAGGAGAGAAGTGGAGTTAAACATTCACAACACTTGATTGGCTGGACGGAAAAATCATGAAAGCCGTCTGTCAGGAATGACTGGTTAGGATCCAGATGTCATTCCTTGAAAAACCCTGTTTTATGCAAATATCCAGCACACATCTTTATGGTGTACATAATGATCAAGACAGGACGAAGTAAGCAAGCAAGACTAATTAAGGAATTTA